AGGTGGTCACACGCAAGCCAGCGGAGGCAGAAACAAAAGCATCTGGAACCTTGCAGTTCTATAAGGAAAATGTTCAAAATTGCCATTTACCTTTGAAAAAGGAGGTTGCGGGCAGCCACGAATTAAAGAACAATAAAAAGAGAGCTTTGGCTGAACACGAGAGAGAAAGGACTTCCAAACAGAAGCATCTGTGCCTCACTGTGGAGGACTGGGATTTGTTAAACACCTACTGAGTCAGAAAGAAGTGGGTCGTTTGTTTTGTTGTTTTCCTTGCTGATGACAGAATTTAGACATAACCCAGAGGGAGTAACAGGAGAGCAGCACTGTTAAATCTGGTTGCTGTGACGTGCTTGGGGAGGGACAGAGGCAGGGAGCAGGTTGATGATATTACTGTATATTTTCAATACATAGTAATTTTTTCAAATAAAGTTTTTGTTGTCATCCTTAACTAATTCTTCTGACGTAGATATCATTCACAAAAAGAGCTGGTCCTATCCCTCCTCCTCTCCTGCCTCCTGAGGGGCGGAAGGATCAGCGCAGCTCGTCTGGAATGAAGCTGCGCTCTGCTTGTCGAGTGCCCCGGGACATCAGTAGTGCTGGTAGAACATAAACCTCGGCCTGCAAGTGCCAGGCTGTGCTGGTAGAGCTCTGACCTAGTCAGGAAGCAAAGAGGATACGCACAGGCCCCGGGGGAGGGAGGCAGAGAGACAGTAACCCCTCGGTAACAGTTACTGCAGAAATCCAAAGTACAAGTCCCCTGTTTCTCACTTTAGCCCAGGGAGTGAAAGCTGAAACCGCGTTACCATAGGTATTAGACACAGCAGTTGTGATACAGTCTCCCTTACAGGCAAATTCACTGCATTTGAGAGCGTTCTGTGGTTTAAAACCCGTGCGCAGCGCGCGCGCGTGCCTGCAATACCCCGACCGCGCTCCCTCCTCTAAAAACGTACAGGGAAGTTTGTAATTCAAGTATTAATGATACGCATCCGCCGTGAAAACCTGGATGCTCAGACTCATGCTGTACTGGCCTGCCTGAGGCCTGGAGTACAGCTGTAGTGCTGCTGCCCTGAGGGTTTCCATAAAAACTGAGGTGCACAGCGGGGCACTGTGTCCATCGTTGTGCTATTAAGCCTATACGGCCAAGAATTCACTACAAGTATCCTCTACTAGTGCTTATTTAGGGAATATCTTCCTTTTATGCTGCTATTTACCAGAATTCAGCAGCAAGAAAAGCAACACATCCTTGGAAATCGTGAAGAAGCTAAGAAAACGAGCTTCACCTCAAAAACAGATAAAGAGCTTAACCCCCTTTCTTTGTTCTTTTACTGCTGAATTCTCAAAAAAAAGAACCTCACAACCAAAACAAGCACACTTGCATTCAAGCCCTACGTTTTTTCCCAGAAACTCAAGGCTATTAATAGCTCCCACTGATGACTACACCAGCCCGCTGCCGAGACAAACGATGGCGCCAGGAGTGACTTAGCAAAACAGCAGCTCAACGGGGAGGAATAGACACTGGTGCTCAAGCATCATCCTTCTCCTGCAGCTGGCTTCTGCCTCAACTGCCTCCACGCATCTCTTCTGCGGAGAGCTGCTAATCCCACCAGGGCAAGACTCATGTCTTGAAGAACCGTATGCTCCACACGGGCAACGCAGCCGGGAGCCGATGCCTTGAGCCAGAAAAAGGCACGCTGTGATTTCACGCAAACCGTCTGCCCAGGTCACAGGCTTGTTGGTAAAAGAACACAGTACGGCTTTCCTTTTCAGAAGAGGTGGTTTTAGAGCACTGCGTTTCCTACGTTCTCCATCCCTGGCACAATTACTCCTTTTCTTAGGTTTCCTCCTGAGCAGCAGACTTCCTCTTTTAAACATGCCGTGCATAAATTCTAGCCTAGGAAGACTTAGGACACACATACCACTGCGTCCTCAACCCACTAATCTCTGCTCATTGCTCTCCGTAAGGCACACGGCCTCTGCTGACCAGGAAGAAGGCAGTAAGAAGGAAAACCACGTGAGGAGACTCACCCCAAAACAGATGGATCAGCCAAGTGCCTCCTTAAACTGCCCGCTACATCCCAGGCTGGCTTCTGAGTCTTGCTGCTGCTGGACTGCTGCTTCTCTCCTGGCTAGTCTCATTATGGGTGTAAATCCAGAGCAGGATGAGTCCCTGGTCCCTAACCTGAGGCCATCAATCACAGCTCTGGCCTCCCCAGAGCACTCACTGCAAGCTGACAGAGGGACATGGGTGGGAGAGCAACGCTGCGGCTCTACCCTGCAGGTACGGAGTGGGCCAGCTCCTCTGACACCAGCAAACCTTCACTGGCTCTTGGATGCAGCGATCACATTCCTGACCCCGTTTCTTTGTGGTTCAGTTCAATTACAGAGCTGAGATGGCAGAAAGGGAGGAAGGCTGCGTTTGGTTTCCTCTTTGCAGCTAGGGATATCCCCAAGCCTGCCTCTGTTTCCTCACCCTCCTGCGGAAGGAGAGAGAGAGAGGGCGGCACGCTGATCTGTCCTGCCTTAAGCCAGCACTTGCCGCCTTCATCACACCTCCCAAAGTAAGAATTCCCAGATCCCAACGTTGTCCCCATGCCACCACCTGACCTCTGCTGCAGAGGCCGAGCAGCCTTCCACACAGCAAACCTCCAACCACCCACGCTCACGCGGCGCACGCCCCCACCCCTTCCTCATCACCCCGGGAGCATCCTAGAACTCGGCGGAGGTGCGCCGTGGCTGTGACCCACAAGCACCGCACTGGAAGAACACAGCCTTTGCCATAAGGGTCAGCCAAGCCAGCATCCTCTTCCCAGCCGCAGCAAACATTGGAGGCTCCAGAAAGCCATGGCTGTCCCAGAGAAAATTTCTTTTTTAACCCATCCTGTCTGGGCTCTGTGCTGAGCCCGAGGGTTTCCTGTATTTTATTAACAGCTGATTAGTTCAATCCTTAACAACTACAGTTGTTGTTACCCACACACAGTTCCCATCATGAGGGAGGAGATTCTTCTTCCCCTCCTCTCCCACCTTCCTCTGCTGCCCCGCAGAAGGGTGCAGCAGTCGGACCCACCTGCCTCCTCCCAGCGCAGAGTTGTGCATCCTCCCACCTCAAAGCCAAGGAGCACGCAAACAACCGGCGGCTGAACCCAACCGGAATCGGAAAGACGCTCTCCCTCCCCAGGAAGGAGAGGGTACCCCAGTAGCGCTGCCTCTGAACCACCCCTCCTTGAGCTGCTCTGAAGAAATCCTGCAGGACTTCCCCATCGGAAGCCCTGGAGCGTACTTTGGGGTAACAAGAGGAAGGACAGCAACTAGTGAGTGAGGCTTTATTCACAGACCCCAGCTCAGCCTCGTTGAAGCGCTGGGTGTCTGCGACTCCCCAGTAAAAACACGCATCTCCACTTCAGGCTTTGTTTGAGGCTGGAAGCTCCCAAGTGAGAAACGTTTACCCAGAAAACTCCTACCCTCTCTTCTGCGCTGCCGTAATGTTTCACAGGCACCACGAACGCACACCATCCGTCCGGCCAGGCGCAGAGAAGGACAAGTTATTAAATGCGGCTTTGAAAGTTTCCCATCGTACTGGTTCCGTTACGCAGTTCTGCCATCTCATTCCAGGTGAAGGATCAGTCAGAAGGCTGTAAAACTCTTTTTAAAGGGTCTCCCAGACCTACAGCTGTATCCCAGCTACGAATTAGAAGAACCCTTCACCGCTGATACCAGCCGTGGTGACACGCAGTGGTGCAGTTCACAGGACAGAGAGGAAATGACTGAATGGGGGGTTATTTTTAAAGATACGTGACCTGGGATGGTGGTGGGAAGGCTATCACCTCATGTTTATTACAGGCCTAAAAAAGTAAGTGGACCCACTGTAAATGTGGGTTTTTCTCAGAGATGATGTTTTAGACACAGATGAGCCTTTCTAAAGAGCAGAGAAAGCCTGCATCTTCCTTACATTTCAGTGGCACATCCGCATCTGTATCCTGAGGGCTGCTTTGAAGGTCTGGCTGCCTGATCCTGCTCTGCTGGCAGAAGAATGCGAGGAGCAGCAAACAGACCCTGTGTCACCCCACACCGCCCCAAGAGCAGCTGCGGCACTTGGTTTTCTGCTGCTCTCCGCTCCGAGGCTGCAACTATTTTCTCTTCTTTGCCATATTCAGTGCAAACTCATCCCAGCCCCACAGCCATTCCCAACCTGCTGAGCTGCTGCTCCAGAGCTGCACCACACAGAGAAGTCCATTTTATATACACGCCGGTTCCGTGCCCTGCAGGGACAGCTACGTGGTCACAGGGACACGGTGGTTTGTCCCCCCCGCAACACCCACTTCAGTCTTCCTTGCTGTTACACTCTCCACATGGGCCTTCGTGGTTTGAGAAGAGCGTGGGAGGTGGCCTGTGCAGCAGCTCCCCACTCCGTCACCCTCAGCACAGCGTTCCTGAGGAAGCGTCCTGGGAACATCAACACAGAGCCTTCCAAGCTGCTGCTGAAACCATCTGCAGATGCACTTTGAACACAAACACAGGCTTCTCCTCCTCCCCACGTGGAGCATGAAGATGTGCTGGAGGGAAGCGCCAACCCCAGGGCTAGACAGGCTCCCCTCGCTCAGCTCCTGCTCTTCAGGGTAGCTCTCCATGTACCTCCACCCGGCTGCCCGCAGAGGTACCAGGATGTCTGCACTGGAGGGACCCCTTGGCCAGACACAGGATCTGTGATGCCAGCAGCCTCCGCAACCCACGGAGACATCGAGTCGATGCTGCAGGACAGTGCTCTGCCCCTGTGGAAAGGACTCACCCTCACATGTCAGGAGAACCCGCAAAGGTGTCCCATGACCGGTGTCCAGCCCTTCGTCCCTGGCTCGGTGTCACCGCGTGCCAGTCAGCACGCTGCTGCTGAGGGCTTGCTTGGGTTGGAGCTTCCCCAGCAGGTGGCAGAGCAGGAGGACACCAATGCCTAAAGGTGACTATGCAGGAAGCACCCTGAGGTCTCCAGTGCTGCAGGTTCCGAGACTTCATGGCCTGCACAGATACTCGTCGGACCAGCTGAGGCAGTGCTGGATGCCGTCCCGGCAGAGTCTCCTGGGGATGCAGGAGCAGTACTCGTAGAGCACAGGGCTGCAGCTCCACCACTCGGACCCACACGGGGGGCAAGCAGCCACTGAAAGCAGGGAACAGAAACGCTGCTGCTGAGCTCTGCCCTCCTTACTTACACAGGTAGCTCCCCTCCCAGCCCTGGCACCTACAGAAAATCTAACTGGTGACACCCCCAAGTCTGTGAACCCACCAGAGGACACTCGATGCTACGTCTGGGAGACAAGCAGGGAGTGTGGCACTGTGATGGCCTGCGTGGCAGACATGCCATGCTGGGAGGAACAACTAGGTGCAGTGTATTTTGTTAACAAGCTGCTCTAGAGAAAGCTGCTGATACAGGCAGGTCTCACCTGAGGTTCAAAACCCCACGGGTGACAGCAACAAATCCGAGGGAAGGATCTACCTGGCATGGAAGCTGCTGAGGCCTGCTCAGCCATTCCTATCTCCTGGCCAAGAACCAAAGGCCAGTGTGAATGATAGCTGCTGCCTACAGCTACACAACCCAACGAAACCGCTCCACACTCAGCAAGCCACAGGAGGAAGGGGGCTGGGAGCAATGTACAGGGCCTTTACCCTCATGGTTGCCACCCGGCTTCAACACAGAGCCCTTGGCAGGTGGTGGGAGGGAGGCCGCATGGTTTGTACTCATGTCCTGTCACAGCTATTTTGTGTTTCAGCGGTGGATGCCAGCCTCCCGGCCTTTCCAGCAGCACCAGTGAGCACCACACCTACGCAAGCTACTTTGATCCATCAGCAGAAAAGGCCTCTTGCCCAACAGCTGCCAGAAGAGACTTACAGCTCCCCATCTCGTCAGAGCAGTCTCCGCAGTCGTTCATCCCGTTACACCTCCGATCGGCATAGACCCAGTATGCAGCATTACTACAGCGGAAAACCAGGTATCCCGGAAGGCTGTGGGGCACGTCGCCTGCAAGGGCAGACACACAGGACATGCTTAACTCCACCAGGAATCATGGTTAAAAAATTAGAATAGGAAAAGCAGAGGAGCTTGGAATCTTTGATTCCTGGAACTCCTGAGGGGTTTTGGGTAGCTCTGTCTCTCTGCATCTGCCCTACAAAGCCTCTACCAGGCTCTCTGCTCTCGCAGGCATCCGGAAGCGCAGAGCAGGATTAGAGGGACGCTGGCTGCTCAGTCTCACAAGAGGAAGGACAAGGTGGGAAGGACAGAGACAACAAAAGCGCTCACCACAGAGTTCCTCCTGCTCATCCTCTCTGTTCCTGCAGTTGTGGGCGCTGTCACAGACCTGACTGGCTGGGATGCAGGTCTCTCTGTCATCGCACAAGAAGCCTGTCCGGTTACTGGAGGCTGTGCAGAAGCGGTTCACTGAAGAGAAAGCCAGAAATACTTTATTTTCCAACATATTCATGGATCAAGGGGAAAAAAAAAGAGGATTTCCAAAATTCATTTGTTGTTCTGGAAATAACCCGGGGCCAGGATTAATCTCTGGTAGGTCCATGGCAGAGTCGGAAGACTATGCCAATGGTCTGAAGCATGACCAGAGCACCCAGTTACCACAGCCCTATGGAGCAGGACACCGTAGCCGAGGAATTGCTTGTGGCAACTTGGGCTGTGCAAAGACGGCACACAGCCCCGCATTGCTCCGCTGGACCCTTTCCTTCTGGCCTGCACTGGGAAGCACCACTTCAGGCACAGTGACGGACACAAAGGCTCTTCTCATGCAACGTCATTTTTCCACCTCCCTTCCCCAAAAAAAAAAAAACTGCCAACCTGGGGCATGTAGCAGAAGTCCCAGTGCACCCGCCAACGCCACGGCAGCCACGAGGATGAGCAGCACTGTGGCAGAGATGCAGACGCGCCTCCATGGCCGGCGGCAGCCTGTTGGGAGGCAAGAGCAAGAGGTGAAGGGATGGGGAAGGCTCTGGCAGGGCTGAGCAGGGTGGGGGATTTTGGAGGGGAACAGCACAGAGCCATGAGGGTGATGTTTTGGGGGCTCTGGCAGGGCCTCTGCTGGAGTTTAGGGGATGATAGTTGGGTTTTAATAGCCAAACTCCAATGGTTAGCACCTCCTCACAGGGAATTTTGCTGCTTGCGGTGTGGAAGAGCCTGTGCTGCTGCTGCTACGGAGCGCTGGGATTGAACGGCATGAACGCCACGTCTCCATTGGAGCTCACCCGACGCACCTGGATGCGGAAGGGTGGAGACATGCCCGACCCCATGGGACGGCAATGCCGTTGTCACAGCAGGAGCAGCTGAAACACAGGGCAAGTCAGCGTAAGGCTGGGAAAGGTGTCCTCCCAGAGCCCACGGCAAATCTCCCCAAGAGCTAAAATTTCATCTTACAGTGCTTCGGGCTTTCTGCCTCAACCAGGATTTTAGTGCTGCAGCAGAACTGAATTACCAGCTCAAAATGGTGAGAACTGGCCAAAGAGCAGCGCTTTCCCTTCCCAAAGACACATTCAGGGCACTAAGGGCAGTGACCTTCCCAGGACTCCAACTCTCAGGAAGTCACGTATGTAAATCAAGTTAAATCCGGAAGCTGAAGGCCAAACCCACAGTCATTGCAATCCAACAGCAGCGCGCGAGAGCGACGGCGATCAGCTGCCCTCATCTCGGCTCTCTGCAGCACCAGGGCTGCGTCTCTAAGCCAACACCATGTTTTCTTGCGTTCCTTTAGATTTCCAGACCAACACAATAAAAATTGATGTGATCTGCTGAGAAACATGTAACTGGTCACTTGAGACAACCCTGGATGAATAACTGGATTTTGGCATTTCTGAAATTTGATGGAAAAGTTAGAATTTGTCTTAGTTGTGCTTCACATTTACTTGGTTGCTGTGTTGCACAAACGCGAGCGAAGGCACGGCCTGTGCTCAACGGTGAAGTGATCCCCGTGGCAGCAATCACCCCCCCACCCCCAGTCACGCTTGAGCGGGAACCAAATGCGGAACATTTCAGCTTAAAAAGTGGTGAATTACGGCATGCCTGTGTCAACACGACAACACCTTTGACCAGAAAGCACACCACTTGCAGACACCAATAGGAAATAATGGCAGTGATGAAATGTTGTTGCAACCTGATCTACAGGTTTGCTATCAGTTCTGTTTGATCTCATCTTTTCCTTCTCAACATGGACAAAAATTGCTGAAGTTTGACTATTAAAACACATAGCAAGTTCACAATGAGCCGTCTGACAGACAAGGTCTACCTGTCGTCCTACTAAGCCATAAGATTGCCAACTCCAGGCCAAAGAGCAGCTTAAGTTTATTAATTTTATAGTCTGGACATTTCACTACACAGAAGGGAGGGACATCAGTCTCAACAGACCATAAATACTGGTGGTATTTCACATTACACAGGGAGTTTCAACTGATTTATACCTTAACAATAAAAATGTTAAGCTTGGTGGTTTATTTATTACCTCTTTCTTCAGAGGAGGACTTTGTTGAATCAGAAGTAGCTACATCACCGTTTCTCTAGAAGGAGAGGAATAAAAGCCTGTTTACAGAAGCAGCAAGCAGTCACCGCACCACCTTTCTACCATCTTATCCAAGAATATGTAACGTATTCCTTCATTTTTACATCCAAGCAAAAATCGTCCCGGTGCAAACGTGGCCCAGATTTAATTCACAAAGCAATCAACCAGATGACCTTTTAAATCTCATCCATTTGTGAAACACACACTAACGCAAGTCTAGAGCTTTATGTCAACGCTTTCCTTTTGTATCACATTAAGTAGAAACCGCGCGAGATCCCACAGAAATCAGCGATAAAGAGCTCAGGCAGTGCTACCACGAACGCGTGTACTTCAGGAAACAGCCGCACCGAAGGTTTCCCTGAAGAGAAGGGCCGTACCTGGGGGTGAGTTCTGTTCATGTTTTCCAGAGCTACAGCCCTCACGCAGCTCAGAGGACCGCAGGGAGTTTTCTGTGCCTCCACACGAGCGATGTTACCAGGATACAAAGCCCAACAGAGGCAGGAAAGTGAGGAGCATGCTGCCGCCCAGGCACGCAAGCAGGAGGGGACGGGAAGGCAGAGCCGAGCCTGTGTTCCAGATCCGGTGGAAGTGGGGTTTCTGGTTTGCTCCTCATTCCTCCTGGCTCCATCTTGGCTTCACAACAGGGCATGAGGCAAATCACAAAGGACACGGAGATGCTGGATGTGGAGAACGCTGCTGCCAGTCCCCATACCAGTTTGGGAGGGTGAACGCTCACCCAAGCCCATGCCGACTGCATTTACCCTGCTGTGGGTCAGGGAAAACCCTGGGCATAATGAAAGCCTGAGGGGAGAGAGTCTGAGCGTCTCCATGCAAGTCTCCTTTCTCCCCACCTCCTTCCCAGGACAGAGCCGGCGCGCTGACCTCACAGCGGCATCAGCCTGGACTCGATTACATTAACACGGAGTTCGTACACGCTGCTTGCCAAGGGCTCTGCCACCCCTGCCCTCGCCTGCTGAGGGCAGCCAGAACGACACGCGGTCTCTCTCCTTTGGCACTGCAACACCGATCTGTCCAAAGCAGAACTTCCTCATGGGAATACAGCACCGTTAAACCTGGTGCTAGAAAGCTCTCCTGTTCCAAGGTGGATTTTGGGTGGAAACACCACATAGCAAACAGTCTGCGGGCACCTGCTACAACACAGAAGAACAACAGACTAAGGGTTAAAACCCGCGTACCTTAAATTCTGGAGCTGTTTCTCTTTCAAGAGAAAGTTTAAGTTTCTAATCAGACTTGATGCAGCAGGACTGTTTGGAGCCTTCAGAAAGCTTACTAGGTGCTTGTGAGGCTGCCGAGTCCCATGTTAGAGCCAGCTCCAGCAGGCTAACTGTGCACACCCCATGGAACAATCTACAACGGAAACGTTTAGAACGCGGAGTAAACCCACTCTTAGAGGCAAATGTCTGTAAGACCT